GAGGGCCAAAATTTCCCATGCCTGCACTAGCCATAAACAAGATGGATGGAGAGAAGAGGAGTGAATGACACTGAGAAGTGGTGCAGATAGTCTTCCATATTCTGACTGCTTAAAGGACAACTAACTAATGTGGAGAAGGATTCAGAGAACACCCTTTACAGGCAGAAGATCTCAGATATAATGCCTGGCAAACATGGAAAGGCCCTACAAGTTGATGCAAGGCAATCCGTTCCCAAGTAAGTAATTATCCTCCACCTGTTTCTACATCTTCAAAAGGACTCTTACCCCATTCTCTTCAAGGGCGGCCAGTGGTTTGTTGATGCTGTTGACAAACTTGTTGACGTGTTCAAAGTGCTTTGTCATTTCTGTGGCCAGGACCATGTCAATGATGGCTTGGCGGAGAGTTCGATATTCGTTTCTAGGCAAAGAAGGAGCAGAGGAAAGGCTCAGGAGGATGTCGGAGACTGAGTATCTATTTGAACTCTACGACATTTATTTTTTACTAGCTTGGGTATCCTTAATACTAGTGGGGTTGGGTGGGGATTGATTTTGTCATTTGGGAGTTGTAGTTGCTGGGATTTATAGTTCACCTACAATCAAAGAGCATTCTGAACTCCACCAATGATGGAATTGAACCAAACTTGGCACACAGAAATCCCATGACCAACAGAAAATACTGGAAGGGTTTGGTGAGCATTGACCTTGGGTTTGGGAGTTGTAGTTCACCTACATCCAGAGAGCACTGTGGACTCAAACAATGATGTATCTGGACCAAACTTCACACGAATACTCAATATGCCCAAATGTGAATAGTGGTACGGTTTGGGGGAAACAAGCCTTGGCATTTGGGAGTTGTAATTGCTGGGATTTATAGTTCACCTACAATGAAAGAGCATTCCGAACTTCACAAACAATGGGATTGAACCAAACTGGGCACACAGAACCCCCATGACCAACAGAAAATACTGGAAGGGTTTGGTGGGCATTGACCTCGGGTTTTGGAGTTGTAGTTCACCTACACCCAGAGAGCACTGAGGACTCAAACAATGATGTATCTGGACCAAACTTCACACGAATACTCAATATGCCCAAATGTGAATAGTGGTACGGTTTGGGGGAAACAAGCCTTGGCATTTGGGAGTTGTAATTGCTGGGATTTATAGTTCACCTACAATGAAAGAGCATTCCGAACTTCACAAACAATGGGATTGAACCAAACTGGGCACACAGAACCCCCATGACCAACAGAAAATACTGGAAGGGTTTGGTGGGCATTGACCCCTCTGACACCCCTCGACCCCCCCCCAGGGTCCTGACCCTCAGGTTGAGAAACACTGCTCTAAATCAAGGTGTCCCCCCCCCCCAAAAAAAAACCTCTCCAGTATTTAGAGTGCCTCATGGGGGCTCTGTGTGCCAAATGTGGTCCGGGTCCATTGTCAGCGGGGGTCACAGTGTTCTGACTTGACGCAGTGTGAACTACAACTTCCACCATGTGGAGTCAACCCCCCAAACTCCTCCAGTATGTTTAGTTTATTGTTTCTGCTCTGTTTGTTGTGCTAGACAGAGTTGAAAAGAGTAGGAAAAGGTTAAAGGAGAGGCAGTGGGCGGGATCATGCAAATTCCACACCAATGGAGAGAGTAAGAAACACTGGGATGCCTGTGGTGGAGGAAACACATAAAATCTAGGGTGAAATTGTTCCCAAATGAAAGCATTCATTAGGGTGGTAGGAAATATGGTGTTTGTGGGGGTTGGGATACATGTTCATGGCACTTGCTATAACCTGAAATGTCGTTGGAAGGAAGGCTTTGGTGGCTCCTTAGTACTGTGGGTTAAAGCTGTCTGTGGAAGTGGACACTCCAGCCACATGCACACATACATATTTTCACCTTTATTATGTGTATAGATTTTTCACTTTAGGCTATCAACCATTTCAGTCTTTTCAAATGTATCCATCAACTCTTTTGCCTTTGCTCCCATTACCCAGGTGATTAGAAATTATCCTGTAACTGCCAGATCGATTATTCTTCTTTGGAAACAATGAAGCAACATGTGAGAAATTAATAAATAATTGTTGCTATTCTTTTAAAAAAAGAAAAAAGACTATTCTTAATATTTCCTTGCTTCCACGCCTTGATTGTGACAATAGAGCTCTAGAAACAAAAGAGATTCAAAACAACAAACACAACAGAGAACAGCTTTTAAAAATGACCTCTGAGGATGATTAACTACAGATTTAATTAACTCATTTCTTGCCTCAATTTTCAGCCTATTTCTTAATGTTGGGAAGGGGTAAGTAAAGGTAAAGATTCCCCCTTGGCATTAAGCCTAGTTGTGTCCAACTCTGGCGGTTGGTGCTCATCTCCATATCTAAACCGAAGAGCCGGCGTTGTCCATAGACACCTCCAAGGTCATGAGGCCGGCATGACTGCATGGAGCGCCGTTACCTTCCCGCTGGAGCAGTACCTATTGATCTACTCACATTTGGATGTTTTCGAACTGCTAGGTTGGCAGAAGCTGGAGCTAACAGCGGAAGCTCACCCCGCTCCTCAGATTCAAACCACCGACCTTTCGGTCAGCAAGTTCAGCAGCTCAGCGCTTTAACACACTGCACTACCGGGGGCTTTTATATCTATCTCTATCTATCTATCTATCTATCTATCTATCTATATATATATACACACACACACAAACATACATACAACCGAGTCCTTCTTTCGTAGTTTCCCCAATTTAATTTCCTACTTTATCTCACTCTACTGTATACTCATATAGTCTTTAAACAATTTCCAGTCTGTTGGAGTCACAGGTCTACCTGTATGTTCTTTCAGTAAAAATGTCAGCCTGCCCAATTCCCAAACTTTATCTTGCAATTGGTCTTTGGCTGGAATTTCGTCTAGTTTCCTTTTCCTCGTGTATGTCTTTCTTGCTGCCGGCGTTGTCCATAGACACCTCCAAGATCATGTGGCTGGCATGACTGCATGGAGCATCATTACCTTCCCATCGAAGCAGTACCTTTTGATCTACTCACATTTGAATGTTTACAAATGGCTACGTTCGCAGAAGCTGGAGCTAACAGCAGGAGCTTGCTCCGTTCCTTAGATTCAAACCGCTGACCTTTTGGTCAGCATGTTCAGCAGATCAGCAGTTTAACTCGCTGCGCCATCAGGAATAGTGGAGCCCCCAGTGGCGCAGTGGGTTAAACCCCTGTGCCGGCAGGACTGAAGACCGACAGGTTGCAGGTTCGAATCCAGAGAGAGGCGGATGAGCTCCCTCTATCAGCTCCAGCTCCTCATGTGGGGACATGAGAGAAGCCTCCCACAAGGATGATAAAAACATCAAATCATCTGGGCGTCCCCTGGGCAACGTCCTTGCAGACGGCCAATTCTCTCACACCAGAAGTGACTTGCAGTTTCTCAAGTCGCTCCTGACATGACAAAAAAAAAATCAGGAATAGTAGCATCAAAAGCCAGGGACATCCTGTGAAATTGGGTTTTGGAGTAGAACACTTTTTTAAAAACTTGGAATTCAGATTAGGCTTTTTGGCAAATATTTATCTTTTATCTTCAACAGTTTGAGCTGTGGGAGATCTGAGGTTTCTGACAGGCCACAGAATCGCAAAATCTGAGATTTCCTGCTGAAGCAGCACCTATTGATCTACTCACATTTGCATCTTTTCGAACCACTAGGTTGGCAGAAGCTGGAGCTAACAGCGGGAGCTCACCATGCTCCTAGGATTCAAACCACCGACCTTTCGGTCAGCAAATTCAGCAGCTCAGCATCTTAATCTGCTGCACCACTTTTCTTTTTTTTTACTTTTGGAATTCAGTTTAGGCTCTTGTGCAAATACTTATCTTTTAGCTTCAACGGTTTGCGTTCTGGGAGATCTGAACTTTCTGACAGGCCACAGAAACCCAAAATCTGAGATTTGGAGGGAACCACAAGGGCCATCTAGTCCAACCCCTCCCATGTCAGCATATACAAAGACTGTTGTTTCGTCATGGCAGACGACCACTATTTTGAAAAGAAAAACTCACCGCTCCATGTTTTTGAAAATATTGCACTTATCGTCTCGTATCGTGATCTGGAAGGCCAAAGCCGCGTGGTGACTTTCCAAGACCGCAGTGTCATTATATAAAATGGCAAGTTCACTGCCCGCGTTGCACAGGAAGGAGTTTGTCCGCCCTGGATGATCCACGTCATGAACAGTGGCAGCAATCAATGCGGCGACTTCATCAATCGGATCCAGAGTTTGCTGGGGGGGGAAATGAAGAGAGGGATTCTTACAATATCCATGGAACAGTTGAAACACGCTTGTGCACTTATCCTAGTTCTGAAATGCGTGCAAATATACAGTCACCCCTTCACTTTTGTAGGTTTCACACTCACAGTTTTTTTAATAATAATTTTTATTGATTTGTCACAATTATTACATTCGTTATACATTTGTTATTACTATTACGTTTTGTACAGCAACCTCTTTAACATGTTGTTTTGTTATTTTGCTTTAACATTTTCCCCTTTTTTATTTCACCACAGTGCTCCCCTCCACCTGTCTCAAGCCACTATTCTTACATATCATCTGTCCAAAATCTCATTTCTTCTTGTGATGGTAATTTTCCTTCCTTGTTTTTTAGACCATTTACAACAAATTTTCCCCATACAGCATCAAAGTCGCTTTGTTTCCATATACCTTTTTTAACCTTTAATATACATGTCAGCTTATCGTTTATTGCTAATTTCCATGCTTCCTTATACCACTCCTCTATTTGTATATTCATTTCTTTTTTCCAATTCCTTGCTATAAGCAGTCTTGCTATAGTTAGTAAGTTTGTTATCGCTTCTTTATCCTCCTTTTTCAGTTGCTTATTGTTATATAATGATAGTAAGGCTATACTAGGACTTTTATCTATTTTCATATTCATTATAGTTTCTATTTCTCTAAATACTTTCTCCCAAAAATTATTTACATATTTACATTGCCACCACATGTGTATATATGTTCCTGGTTCTTGACACCCTCTCCAACAATTTATTGAGTTATTTTTATTCATATATGCTATTCTTACCGGTGTCAAGTACCACTTCCATATTAACTTATAATAATTTTCTTTAACTCGTATCGATAAATTTTTTAAATGTCTTTGTCCCCATAACTGTTGCCACTCTATTTCACTTATTTTTATCCCTAAATCCTCTTCCCAAATCTCCTTAAGGGTACACTTTTTTATTTTTCATCCTTCATTTCAATTAATATCTTATAAATTTTACTAATTGTACCTCTCAAGTTTTCATGTTCTTCTACAGCCCTTCCCTCTTCGTGACCTCATGGACCAGCCCACGCCAGAGCTCCCTGTCAGCCGTCACCCCCCCAGCTCCTTCAAGGTCAGTCTGTCACTTCAAGGATGCCATCCACCCACCTTGCCCTGGGTCGGCCCTCTTCCTTTTGCCTTCCACTTTCCCCAGCATACTGTCTCTAGGCTTTCCTGTCTCCTCATGATGTGCCAAAGTACTTCATCTTTGCCTCTACTTCCATCCAATGAGCAGTCGGGCTTTATTTCCTGGAGGATGGACTGGTTGGATCTTCTCGCAGTCCAAGGCACTCTCAGAACTTTCCTCCAACACCACAGTTCAAAAGCATCTATCTTCCTTCGCTCAGCCTTCCTAAGGTCCAGCTCTCACATCCGTAGGTGACTACGGGAATACCATGGCTTTGACTAGGCAATGGATCTTTGTTGCCAGTCTGATGTCTCTACTCTTCACTATTTGATCGAGACTGGACATTGCTCTCCTCCCAAGAAGTAAGCGTCTTCTGATTTCCTGGCTACAGTCTGCATCTGCAGTAATCTTTGCACCTAGAAATACAAAGTCTGTCACGGCCTCCACGGTTTCTCCCTCTATTTTCCAGTTGTCAATCATTCTTGTTGCCATAATCTTGGTTTTTTTGATGTTTAGCTGCAACCCGGCTTTTGCGCTTTCTTCTTTCACCTTGATTAGAAGGCTCCTCAGCTCCTAATTATACCTCTCAAGTTTTCATGTTCTTCTACAGCCCTTCCCTTCTGTATTATTTGTTCAAATTGATTGGGTTGGCTTCCATTTCTATTTTTTTTCCAGTTTTTTAACCATTGTTCTAGTTGTATACAATGGAACCATGACAATTTTATTTCTTTAAACTCTTCCAACATCATTTCCTTCTTCATTTCCACCTTCATCCAATCCCCTATCCTATCTAAATTTTTTTCCCTTACCTTTTTATCCATTACTTTCTTCCCATTCCTTGCCGGAAAAAATATCACAACAATCTATAAAAATAAAAATGTAATGTTCGTTTGTGGGATTAACAGAACTCAAAAACCACTGGAGAATTGACACCAAATTTGGACACAAGACACCTAACAACCCAATGTATGTCCTTCACTCAAAAAATTGATTTTGTCATTTGGGAGTTGTAGTTGCTGGGATTTATAGTTCACCTACAATCAAAGAGCATTCTGAACCCCAACGATGGAATTGAACCAAACTTGGCACACAGAACTCCCAAGACCAACAGAAAATACTGGAAGGGTTGGGTGGGCATTGGCCTTGAGTTTTGGAGTTGTAGTTCACCTACATACAGAGAGCACTGTGGACTCAAACAATGATGGAATTGAACCAAACTTGGCATAAACATAAAATATAAACAACAAAATAACCTCACAATAAAATAAATAAACCAATCAAGCATTCTGAACCCCACCAACGATAGAATTGGGTCAAAATTCCCACACAGAACCCCTATGACCAACAGAAAATACTGTTTTTTCTGATGATCTTTGGCAACCCCACTGACACCTCCTCGCGACCCCCTGAGGGGTCCCAACCCCCAGGTTGAGAATTGCTGATCTAGTATGATGCGAGTTGTAGTTCACCCATATCTTGTGCATTTTGTAAAATAAAAAATGACTTCTTCTAATAACAATTCTCCCATGACCAATAGAAAATACTGGAAGGGTTTGGTGGGCAGTGTCCTTTGGTTTTGGAGTTGTAGTTCACCTACATCCAGAGATCACTGTGGACTCAAACAATGATGGATCTGGACCAAACTCTACACAAATACTCAACATGCCCAAATGTGAACACTGGTGGAGTTTGGGGAAAATAGAATCTTGACATTTGGGAGTTGTAGTTGCTGGGATTTATAGTTCACCTACAATCACAGAGCATTCTGAACCACACCAACGATAGAATTGAACCAAACTTGGCACACAACTCCCATGACCAACAGAAAATACTGGAAGGGTTTGGTGGGCATTGACCTTGAGTTTTGGAGTTGTAGTTCACCTACATCCAGAGAGCACTGTGGACTCAAACAATGATGGATCTGGACCAAACTTGGCACAAATACTCAATATGCCCAAATGTGAACAGTGGAGTTTGGGGAAAATAGACCTTGACATTTGGGAGTTGTGGTTGCTGGGATTTATAGTTCACCTACAATCACAGAGCATTCTGAACCCCACCAACGATTAATTGAGGCAAACCTCCCACACAGAACCCCCATGTGGGCCACAGCAACGCGTGGCAGAGGACGGCTAGTAAACAAATAAATAAATAACTTGTGTCACCAGTGTACCTGGTGTTTCTGTTCCCCTTTGCAAGGAATTTTAAAATATCTGTATATTGGTTATTGTTGGACATGGATGAAAGGATCCAATTGCACACAACCTGGGTTGCTGTGAGTTTTTCAGCCTGTATGGCCATATTCCAGTAGCATTCTTTCCTGATGTTTTGCCTGCATCTGGGGCAAGCATCCTCAGATGTTTGTTTAGAAGACTGTTGGAAATGAGGCAAGTGGGGTGTATATATCTGTGGACTGTCCAGGGTGAGAGAAAAAAGCCCTTTGCCTATTTGAAGCAAGTGTAAATGTTGCTATTGGCAAGCTTGATTAGCATTGAGTAGCTTTGCAGCTGCAAAGTCAATCAGTGAAGGTATCTGCAAAGACATAGCCTGCCTGTTGTGCCTGGAGGCATCATTTGCTTGGGAGGTGTTAAATAGCATTTTATTTATTTATTATTTAGAGCTTTTATAACCCGGTCTTCTTGACCTCCGAAGAGGAACTCAGGCCGGTTCACAACAGAAGATTCATAGACAATAGTATAAAAACATCACAACCTCATAATACGTCAATCCATAAAATACATCAAAATACCAATCATACAATTACATAAGGCCAGGTCGTCAGAGTGAAATCACAATTCATCACCATCCATCAGTGTGGTCAAGAGTTATTGACTCAATCATCAAATGCCATATTCCAAAGCCAAGATTTCACCAGCTTTCTGAAAGTCAGGAGAGAAGGGGCAGATCTAATCTCCAGCGGGAGAGAGTTCCAGAGCTGAGGGGGCCACCACCGAGAAGGCCCTGTCCTTTGTCCCCACCAGACGCGATTGTGAGGGCGGTGGGACCAAGAGCAGGGCCCCTCCAGAAGATCTTAACAACCTTGATGGTTCATAGGGGAGAATCAGTTCGGACAGGTAAACTGGGCCGGAGTCGTTTAGGGATTTATAGGTCAACACCAGCACTTTGAATTGTGCTCAGAAGCTAATTGGCAACCAGTGGAGCTGGCGCAACATAGGAGTAGTATGCTCCCTGTACCCTGCTCCTGTTAGTAATCTGGCTGCTGCTCGTTGGACTAATTAAGCTTCCAGGCAGTCTTCAGGGGCAACCCCATGTAGAGAGTGTTGCAGTAGTCTATACGGGATGTCACCAGAGCGTGGACCACTGTGGCCAAGTCAGACTTCCCAAGGTACAGGCGCAGCTGGAGCACAAGTTTTAATTGATTGTTTGCTGTCTGGACTTCCCCTGTTTCTGAGCGGTGTTCTTTGCAAATACCCTCACTGATTGACTTTGCAACTGCAAGGCTACTCAATGCTAACCAAACAAGCCTAGTGTTGGGGTTCAGCCTGATCTGTGTGAACCTGATTGTCTGATAGTATTTCCAACTGAGCAAGCCACTGAACATGTAGTTTTCCTTGACAATGTGGAAACTGGTGTTGATGCTGAGGTCAGTGGCGGGGAAAGCGAAACTGAACAGCTGGATGAAAATGTTTTGGAATCCAGTCGTGATAGCTCTCCACCTGGGTTTATTAATGAGGACTGAAAGGAACAGATAACGAGAGACAGGAGTGATTCACAGTTTCTACGAAGGTCAAATAGATTACAGGAGAGACAGGCCCAGGCTTCAAAGTCAAGGGGCGTTTCAAGGAATAGTTTATTTGGTTTAAGGGGCCGCCTGCCGGGTGTCTCTTTAGATCAAGCAACATTTGGGACTGTGGCTGTGCCTTGGCAGAATTCCTATGTTCCATGGCCGTTAATCCCAGAGGCTTCTAGTTTTCAAGTACATGGTTAGCGAGAGGCTAACAGGTTCCTGGTTCTTGTATTGTGGTTTTTGGAATTTTGCTCAAGTTCAGAGATTTTCCTGACTGCTGTGTTTCTATTGGGGCTTTTTGACTTTGCATTTAACTTTCTTTTGGGTTTTTTCATCAATAAAAAAGGATTGTTTTTTCCTACAGTCCAGTGTGGTGGATTTAATCTTATGGTCTTGTTTCTTGATCTGGGATGCAACACCTAGTAATTAACCCTGTCCCTTATGGATATTTTGAAGAAAGGGCAACATTGATTCCTGCTAAAGTGTCAACAACAGTGGTGGGACCAAGAATTGACATCCACAGAACTAAACGTCCCATCCTTGGGCCAGATTGACAAATAACCTGATGCGGTACACAGCAGTTCTTCCTATGGACCCTTTCTTCCAGGCCTTTTGGGAAGGTGGACACTTACTTTTACCCTTTCTTTAGAAAGGAAATAGGCAGTGGCATGGAGGACATCAGCCGAGTGGGTCGAGTTATGATAGGCGTTGGACGAGTGATAGTTGGCTTCGATGACTTGGAGCCAGGCCCGCAGAGTCGACTCTGAGCAATTAAGGAATTCGCAGAGCTGGAAACGGGCAAACATTTTGAGACCGAGGTAAACTAAAGGCCTGGAGAGAAATGAGAAAGAAGCAGATCATTTCCTCCTTCCCAACTCTGTAGCAATGGAAGCAAAATAATAACAATAACTTGCAGACATCAATCACAGTTACTGATTTAGATTGGATTGGATCCGGATTTTGGCATCTGCAGTGCCTTGCAAATGCAATAAAGGAACGACACAGAATGGAGTATACTGTGGCATGTTGGATGGAGAGTCGGATGGAGGCACTCTCTGCCAATGGAAGTCGGATCAGGGTCCAACTCATTGCTTTAATGTTGCTTTTTTAGAGCAACACACTCATAAAGCAATACAACAAGATACAAAGGGCAAGTTACTGTTCTGACACTTAGGTTCTCTGTCAAAAGTAATAGTCAGAAGGAACTTCTGATGGGCAAAACCTTGGGGCCACAGTTAGCACAGTGGGTTAAACCACCAGCTACAGAAAATCTTTCCGACTAGAAAGTTGGCAGTCCAAAACCCCGGGTCGGGGTGAGCTCCCACCGTCAGCCCTGGCTTCTGCTTACCTAGCAGTTTGAAAGCAAGATCAATAGGTACAGTTTGGCGGGGAGGTAAAAGACATCCCTGAAGACATGCTGGCAATTTGATCAGGAAGGTGTCCACAGAAACCAGGCATGGAAAAATGAAACAACAGCACCTCCCCATGGGGAGCTGGAGCTGACAGAGGGAGCTCATCCGCACTCTCCATGGATTTGAACCTACGACCCTTTGGTCTTCAGTTTAACCCACTGCACCACCGGAGGCTCCTTGCTCAGTCCTGACACTGAATGTTACCTATTAGGCATGGACTAAATGGTTCTAAAGTACTTATAAAACTAGGGGGCGCTGTTGCTTTGCTTCTAAAGTGTTTCTAAAGTTCTGGTGGTGAAAATTTCAGAACTCTAACAAAAACTTTCAAAATTTTGTTATAAATGNGGGGAGCGTGCTTGCTCCATCCATATTCAACATCTACACAAATGACCAGCCACTGCCAGAAGGGACAGAGAGATTCATCTATGCTGACAATCGTGCCATCACCGCTCAAGCAGGGAGCTTTGAGATGGTTGAAAAGAAGCTCTCCGAAGCTCTAGGTGCTCTTACTGCCTATTACAGGGAAAACCAGCTGATCCCTAATCCATCTAAAACACAGACATGCGCCTTTCACCTTAAGAACGGAAAAGCATCCCGAGCTCTGAGGATTACCTGGGAAGGAATCCCACTGGAGCATTGCAGCACACCCCAATACCTGGGAGTCACTCTGGACCGTGCTCTGACCTTCCCAATGCCACGACCCCTTAATATTTATTTATTTGTTTGTTTATTTATTTACAGCTTTTCTATTCCGCCCTTCTCACCCCGCAGGGGACTCAGGGCGGATTACAGTGTACACATATATGGCAAACATTCAATGCCAATTGTTAACATACAAACATATACAGACATACACAGAGGCTATTTAACTTTTTCTGGCCGCCAGGGGAGCTGTCGCTTTCATCGTCCATCTGCGACGCTGATGAAGCACTTCCGCATTCCCCGCATGCTTCCCCGCTGGAATGCTTTGCTGGAGTCTTCTTTATGGCCTCATAAATCAGTTAATTTAGCCTCCCCACACTTTAAGGTGGTACCTTATTTTCCTACTTGACAGATGCAACTGTCTGTCGGGTTGCAAATGTTGACAACAGGCTACACACAATTGGTTGGAAACCCACTCCAACCCGGGCTGGCTTCAAACTCATGACCTTTTTGGTCAGAGTGATCTTAATGCAGCTGACACTCAGCCAGCTGCGCCACAATCCCGGTGCTCATATAGTTCCTCATGAGGTGGTGACCCCCAACCATTACATTATTTTCGTAGCTACTTCACAACTGTAATTTTGCCACTGTTTTGAATCGTGATGTTTATCCAATGTATTTTCATTCACCAAACCAAATTTGGCACAAATACTCGTTATGCCCAAATCTGAATACTGGTGAGGTTGGGGCGGAGGGTGGGGTGGAGAATTGATTTTGTCATTTGGGAGTTGTAGTTGCTGGGATTTTTAATTCACCTACAATCAAAGAGCATTCTGAATTCCTCCAATGATGGAATTGAGCCAAACTTGGCACACAGAACTCTCATGACCAACAGAAAATACTGGAAGGGTTTGGTGGGCATTGACCTTGAGTTTGGGAGTTGTCGTTCACCTACATCCAGAGAGCACTGTGGACTCAAACTATGACAGATCTGGACCAAACTTTGCACTCAATATGCCCTAATGTGAACACTGGTGAAGTTTGTGGAAAATAGGCCTTGACATTTGGGAGTTGTACTTGCTGAGATATACAGTTCCCCTACAATCATAGAATCATAGAATCATACAGTTGGAAGAGACCTCATGGGCCATCCAGTCCAACACCCTGCCTAGAAGCAGGAATATTGCATTCAAAGCACCCCTGACAGATGGCCATCCAGCCTCTGTTTAAAAGCTTCCAAAAACACGAGCCAACATGTCTTTGGAAGCTTAAACATGAGCCAACAATGTGATGTGGTGGCAAAAAAAGCCAATGGGATTTTGGCCTGCATCAATAGGAGCATAGTGTCTAGATCTAGGGAAGTCATGCTCCCCATGCTCTATTTTGCATTGGTTAGACCACACCTAGAATATTGTGTCCAATTCTGGGCACCACAATTCAAGAGAGATATTGACAAGCTG